TAGATATAGTGTTAAGCATAAATGCCAAAATTCAAATTAATGTGGATATTTTATAGTGTAACATTTTTAACAATGAAAGGTATGAATTGGATATCATCTATAGTTTCAGTAGATGCATCATTTTTCATGAGAGGATTTATGACTTTCTGGAATTAAAAACTTATATATTCGTTCACGTCCTGAATATTTGAATTTCAAGAATTGTTCAAACCAACTCGATACAAATTCAAAGAATTTTTGACTTTTTCTAATTGAAGGAATTGATAAAATGTCACATTCTCAACTGTTGAATTTTTGTATTCTCTGAATTGAAAAAAATGAAAAATGTCTGTCAGTTGTTGAATTCTTGAATTCTTGAGTACTTCTAAAATTGGAAAAAGGTAATTTCAGATTTTGAATTCTTGAATCAAGGGAAAGTGTGACGTTTATTTGAATTTTTTCTGCTCATTCTGAATTTTTGAAATTTCAGAAATTGAAAAGAAACTCGATGCTATTTCCTGAATACTTTCTGCTAGTCTTGAAATTTTATCAATATAGAGTCCGATGAATTCTGCTGCCCCATTATGCGTTAATACGAGTGAACTCCTGACAGACGAAGGTTTCATGTCTGTCAGGAAGAAGCCATACTACTATTCGCTTATAATATAACAGACTCTCGCTTTTTTGAAAAAATTCGAGCAAATTCATTCGCACTTTGATCCATACAATCGTTTTAAGAATCCGAAATGTTCGGAACCGATTTTGAATGATTTACGAAGTTTGCCTAAAATAGGTTATTTCTCCTGAAGTAAGGTTTCACCGAGTGGTAATCAAAACAAACACTACCCCAAGACTTAGTGTAGTCGACAATCTATGCTCCAGTTGCTTTTGAAGTTCTCAGACCACAAGCTCATAGAATATGAATGTCTCGGGAGAGTCTCTGCACACCCGAACGATGATAGATAGATAAAGCTTTCGGGCTTGCTTAGATTTGTAGAATAGATGTAGCTCCATCTATGTATGTCTTTAAAACAAAAAGTTCAATGGAATTCTTTAGAACGAGTTGAATACACCATGGTAAACCTAGAATCTGAGATTGATCTTTTCATAGGTAGATAGTTCCAAATCTTTTACTATATAATGGTAAAACTGCAAGTCTGTATTACTTCTATAAAATGATAGTCACTTATATTAAAAAAAGGTTACCCGGCCTTTTTGATTTGAAAATGGTCAATAATTTTCTTTTCCAGTGCTTTACGCACATATCCAATCGAATAATTTTTGATAATATCGGTCAGTAAGGTTTTGAAACAGTAGAACGAAATACCAAATACCAAATGCAAATTTGACCATGTACAGGCTACCGCACAAATATAGACACGCATTTTGAGTTTGTGATGTGATCAACACTTCCCAGTACTTGCTTAGTTTGTGGAAGGTTTAATACGCGCGTTTATCACTGCTTTTATCTTATTTTTATAAATGCTTTGGAAAGGCAACTAGTATAAAAAAAGACTAAAAAGTACCACACGTACAAAATATATATTACACTGTTTCAGTTTATTCACGTATATCTTTTTAATGCGTCTCGAGCTATTATCAATCTCATTACTTCATTTGTACCTTAAAAAAACGATTTCGAAATATTACATCTATTTTGCATTTTCAGTAAATAATTTACCTTCTAATATTGTGTGCACCCTACAATCTCTCATATACTGTTGAACAGGATTCGATAAAATATAGCCGTATCCACCGTGCATTTGAATTGCTTGATTACATATCTATAATAATAATAAATACAGACATACATTAATAAAACAGGCATACATCTCTCTCGCTTACATCCAAACACTGTTCCGTTGCGAATAATTTTGCCATACTACAAAGTGTCACCGAATCTTTTGAATGTCCATCCAATGCCATAGCAGCTTTTCTCACGATTAAACGACTACAAATTAATTTTGTAAGCATTTCTGCTAATTGAAACTGTAAATACTACAGAGAAAGAGAACAAAAATAAGTATCACAACAAAGAATTTTTGTCCATACTTGAAATTCTTCCAGTCGTTTTCCAAATTGTTTTCGAACTTTGAAATATTCTCCTGTACGATCTATACTGGCTTGTGCAGCACCCAAAGAACAACTTGCTACAATAAATATCGTACTGAATACCATAAACTACGTCTTTCTATCGTTAAAAAGTGTCTCGCACACTTACCGATATTTACTCTTCCTCCATTGAGTCCTCGCATGGCTATTTCGAATCCTTGTCCTTCTCTCCCAATTAAATTTTTCGCTGGAACGCGACAGTCATCGAAAATAACTTGTCTTGTTGGCTGACAATTCCATCCAATCTAAAACAAATAGAGAGAGAATTTATACTAGAAAAATCATAGTGAAATTCTATACTTTTTCTTCTTTTTTTCCATATGATAAACCTTCGCTACCCTTTTCAACAAGGATACAGGAGATTCCTTTTGGACTCGAGTCACCGGTGCGACACATAACCAAATAAATATCACTTTCACCACCACCACTAATAAATGCCTAAAAAATAAAATTAACTACCAGATGAATCGACTGATTGAGAAAATATATAATGGTGGTTAGTTATTAGAAAAAATACGAGTTTTTTAAAAATACCTTTGTTTACCTTTGTTCCATTTAACACATAAAAGTCACCCTTTTTCTCCGCTTTTGTTGACAACGAAGCGGCATCAGATCCAGAACCTACGGAAAACACAAATTTATTCATTATCAATCGAAAAAGTAAAAACTGACTCATACCAGGTTCTGTTAAACAGTATGAAGCAAACAAATCCATTGGGGCTAATTTTGGTATCCATTTTGAACGATTTTCATCCGATGCAAATGCATCTATCATCCACGAACACATACTAAAATAATAAATAAAATGATTTTTTACTTGTTAAATTAGCACTCAGGTAGTTCAACAAGAACATACTTATGAATACTTAAATAGGCTGCTGTACCAACACATCCTTGTGATAATGCTTCAAATATAATCGATGCATCTAAACGTGTACCACCCGTACCACCGTAATCATCTTTACAATAAATTGATGCAAAACCAAGTGCAGCTGCTCGTCTTAAAACATCTTTTGGAAAATGTTCCTAATACACAAACAAGAACGACAATGTATACTGTAAGACAGTAGAAGAAATAGTATACCAACCGTTTTATCCCATATGTACATATTTGGAGCCATTTCTGTTTGAGCAAATTGAACAGCCGTCTTTTGGATCTGCTGTTGTTCTTCGTTGAGACCATCACTAACTGAATATAAATGATTTTGTAAGATTTGAATACATTCATGAGAATATTTCTTCTAGTAAATACCTACTGTCACATGTATGAGAATAATCCGAATATAAACAAGAAGTTAAAGATATTTGTCGACAAGAAATGAAAGATGTTGCTGCTCTACGAAGTAGGCTATTAAACCGCTGCATAATAACAGATAAATGAATCGATCTGTAATGTATCTCTATACCTAACAAAAATAAAATCTACAAGAATGAGTGCTATATATATAATATGTCAAATTCGAGCTCAATGTAACGATGAAAACGTACCACACATCCAGAATCATATTCACCTCCTAACAGAGTAGCCACATCTGCCCATATAGACTGCGTGTATTGTATAGACAGAACGCAAGAAAATAGTATCGCAATTTGACGGTCTCATCAGAAGATGAATATAGCTCATTCACGAGAACTATGTTAGCATTTTTGAGCATCATAAACTATTCAAAATCAGTAACACCAGAATAAAAGTTTAATTAGGAGTTTATTATAGATCTACCAAAACAAAAGTATTTCATCCAACAATAAAATTTTCTCATTGAATAATGTAAGATAATTTGTTTTTGAGTGTGGGTATGAGTATATTAAGAAAATGTTTGCAGTTGTTTTCTTTTTATTGTAGCTCAAGCAAACTTTTATTACTAAAAACATTTAATACAAAAAATCTTCAAAATTCTATATCTTTATATATATATTCTATAGTTTATTCGTAAAAAAAAAAAACAACAAAAAAAAAATTGAAAAAATGAAACTTTAATAATATATTTTTGGTCTCAAACCGAGATAATGAAAATTATCAGAAGAAGAAGAGTAGCCGAGATTTATGTATGCAAATATTTTCATTCAGCAAAAAAAGTAAAGAGTCAACAGGTTCTAGAAAAACAACTGAGAGAATCCAAAAGAATCAAAATAGAAACATTGATATATATACTAGAAAGCAATAAGAAGGCAAAATAAAAACCATTTGAACAATCTTAAGCAAAAACAACCCGACAAGTGTGAAAATAGTGGAAAAGTATTTTTAACAATTCTAATCTTTTATAACATAAGATGAACAAAATTATGCTGAAATGAGCGACTGAGTACATCAGATCTCAAAAAAAACATTAACATTAAGTCTATGAGATGTAAAAAAAATCGTATAAAAAATGCAATAAGAAGTATGTGAAAACAAATAGGAAAAAAAATTATGTACAAAAACAGAAGGAAGAAGGAGTTTTAAATTTTATCTTTTGATGGAATCCAAATATAGTTAATATTTTGTTGTACATCAATTATTTCGCATATTTTATCAAAAATATCATTCAGTCGGTCGTCTTGAACAACAGCTGAAATAGAATTATCATTAATAATATTTGGAGAAGTACAAATACAAGGTACAGTGAGACAATTGAACTGATAAAAAAAAATCCATTGTATTAGCGTTTTCGTTATGAAGATAAAGTCGAACAAAATTTCTGTTTTACTGCCGAAGTGTCTTTTATCCAAAGTTCTTCATGGATTTCAGAAAAGTCTTTTTAACTCGATCACTTTTTCAAAAGTCAAATAAGTATTCACAAGATTATCTGTTTTTTGTAGATATTTTTCAATCAAATGAGCACCTCTTTGTTGAGTTGTACGATAGAGCGAGATACTTTTATTTTTGAAAATATAATAACAAAAACTAAGACCAATTTTACTTTTTTTAATGTCTTTTTCGACAAATACAACTGCATTTAGTATTTTATCATTCAGTCAATGTTTTTAGAAATCATACAGCAAAGTTTCATCCATTATAGTGTACTAAACTTGAAAATTTAACTATTTAAACCAAAAGAGGTTCGATTCTTAATTGTTCTATTGCAAACAAAATGTAGAGTTTTATTTTTTTTAATTCTAGGATAAACTATTTTTTCAAAAATCTTCTTCTGATCATCATGTAGTTTGTACCTCACTCTAATGCACAACTCAACAAAGACATGCTTATTTGATTGAAAAATATCTGCAAAAAATAGATAATCTTGTTTGATTTTGAAAAAGTGATCAAGTTAAGAAGACTTTTCTGAAATCAATGAAGAACTTTGGATAAAAGACGCTTCACTTAGTCAGATATATTCGACAGTAAAACAGAAGTTTTGTTCGACTTTATCTTCATGGTGAAAACGCTAATATAACGGTTTTTTTTTATTAGTTTGAGTATATTTTTATTTGACTGGATGAATTTCTTCTCTCAATTGCAGTCCTTACCCGAAAATAAATCTGAAAATGTTTGTTCAGTTTTTACTGATTTTTCGTATAATTCTTGTGCAATCTCTTCATTAGCATCTTGACGCATATTATTGCTAAAGTTCAATGAAAAAACAAATAATTTAGATCAGATAGTTGAGGACAGTTATGAGTTGAGATAGCTGCTTACTAGATCCATTCTTTATTTTTTGGTTTAATAAAAATGATTATTGGATATAAACCGGCTGCTGTTAAACGTTTAATTGCATTACCAGTCACAGGTAATACACAATGTTTACCCTAAACACACAAATAACACAATAATATGGACGGTGATCATGTAAAAATTCTGAAAAAAAACAACTCACCGATTTTGAAACGTCTCTGACAGCTTGTATGGATGTTCCATATAAATTTCCATCTAATTCTCCCGCTTCGATAAATAAATCATTCTGAATATCTTGTTTCATTTGTTCAATAGATGCTAAAAAATGATATTCGCGACCTTCCACTTCTACTTCACGACGAGCACGAGTAGTATCTAAACAGCAATTAGATAATTTAGTTTGCATATATCGTTTAACATATAAGGAAAAACTTACGTGGTACACAGTTAGCAAATTTGTCTGATTTATTCAATAATAACCCACTCAGAAAGTCTTTGAATGGACCGAGTATAATCACAGGTCGAATATGGTTTACTATATAAAAATGAGAGTTAAACTTATTGATATACGAAGTATTATACGAATCAATTCTTACATCTCTGTGGTTCAACGAGTACATAAGATGATACAGATTCCGGATTATCAGGCTCATTATCTGTATCGTCGCCACTCTGGTTTTCTTTTCTATCGCCCCCTTTACCAAATAAACCAAACTTTTTCTTCTTCTTTGATTTATCACGATCAAGTGTATTATTCTACAAAAAGATATTTATATAACATACATAACTACATTTCCAAGTTAGTAGTTAACTTACTTTACTTTTCGATTGATTAAAAATTACCTTTCTTTGCCTCGATCTTTCTCTCTTTTCAACTCTAAATAATAGTTGGATATCTCACATTACAATTAAACAAAAACAAATTGACTTACCGTTTTTTTGAAGGTATTATTCCTGAATCTTCTTCAATTCCATCATATTGCACTCGATTCGCTCTCCACCACTGATCATCAGCTGCATTTGTTACATGTAATATATCGCCCGCGTTAAATGGAAGACCACTATTTGCATTAGGCAAAGCAGAATCTTTAGTTGGATTATATTTAAATTCAGCTCTGAAACATAATGCCAGTAATTTGACATTATTTAAATTAGATATCACCAGAAAACATTGATGTTACATACCGTACAAAAAAATCTCGCTTTGTTGATGTTTTCAAGCTTCCCGTGCTTCCTACTCCGCCTATCATTACATTTTGTTTATTAATTATGCTTTCAAAGTGTTGATACTCTATATAAACAAACATCACAGTCATTAACAGAAAAAGCTTATTTTCCTCTCTTACCATCTAATTTATATGCGACAACCATATTGGCTGTATTTCCACAATTCTTTAATACATTAGATGCCTGTTCATGCGATGCACTTCTTAAATCAATCTGATTCACCGATAAAATACGATCACCTTTTTTTAAGTTTCCATTTTTATCAGCTGAACCACCCGAATGAATCGACGAAACGAATATACCTTAAAAAACCGACAGAACTAAACTACTTTTTAACTTTTCTTCATAGCAAGTTATTCAACCTTCATCTACATCTCCTGCAACGAAATTGAATCCAAATCCATTTTGTCCTCGACGTAGTACAATTTGACGTTCACTAAAATAAGATAAAAATTAAAATTTATTCTCAAAAACAGTTGGTAGTAGTCCATACGCTTCAGGATCGTCTTCATTTATCCGTTGTTCATGGTGCATTTGACCATTAATCGATATCGAATGACCGTTTGGATTCATAGCTCTCGACGGATGTCCAACAAGCAGTTTGATAATATCGCTTTCGCTACACGCAAGACGAATCGACTCAACAGCGTTTTTATGTTCAACAAATTGTAAATCATATTCACTGTCCTAAATCACAATAAAAACATAATATTAGCAATCCTGAAAAGAAAATAGTTGATGGGAGTATTAAGACTGCTTATTACTACGATTAATATGTGACTAAGCACGCTATAACGTTGTTAACACATGTGAAATAGAGCGGCATTCTATAGATCTTCTAATAAACTGTGATGAGCCAAATGCTTCATTCATGTATTTATCTACAGTAGAATTCTCTATCAAACATCATCGAAAGATTATGTAAAAACAACCTGAACCACCAGCGCACCCTACACTTTTCAAATTTATGGTACAATTCGAGTCTATATACAACAGAATCATGGCAAACACTTACTAGTCATATCTTCATTTTGAACAACAAAAAAAAGCTCAACAGAAGGCTAATTATTGGTTTTTAAGCACAGTGGCGATGAAAGAAATGTCAGATATTGATCATGGCTTTTTATTATTCAGAACTCTATCCATTGATATACTCTTTTGCTTGAGAATCAGCATCATGGTTTATTCGCATTGAGCACTACATATTCTATGAATGATCTTGTAGATCAACATGGCGATTATAACTGATCTAGTATCTTAACTCCAACCTTATAAATGCAGATATCCAGGTACACTTTAAAAAATGAAACGTTTCTCTCTTTCCTGTGTTGAAACACTCATGAGTCTATCTCCCACTCTTAATCTTCCATTTTGATCAGTAATACCACCATGAATTATATTTGTTATAAATATACCATGATCACTAAAAGACAAAGCAGGAACTAAATGTATGTAGAGGAACTAAATGTGTATGTAGAGGAATTGATATTTTGCCCAAAAGAAAATCTTACCCTTTCACATGTGGATGACTAATTCCACCGGCTATAGAAAAACCTAATGTTGTATTTGGTGGTTTGTGAAGTTCAATTTCTTCTTGGTCAGGCGGAACTACACGACGAATATGCTAAAATAAAAAAGATCAACATCGTAGATCTGAAAATTGTATTAAGGATACAAAACTGGTGCTCTAACCAATGCTAAACTTACTAGTTTTACTTTGTTGCCGGCATGTTTTAATGCGTCAACAGCCTCTGTGTGATGTATATCTGTAAAATCAATCTCATTCACACGTAATATAATATCATGAAGTCTAAAAAAACCTTACGTATGTACTGCATTTATTTTCTTCGAATATCAGCTATTTGTCACTAACCTCAATCTATCATCTTTAGCAGCAATTCCATTGTCCGTAATTCGAGTAACAACAACATACGGTAAGTCAGCGATACAAGATATGTCATTTCCACCGGCAATCGAAAAACCAAGACCGACACCAGTCGACTTAAAGAAGTCAAACAATTTAATAATTTTAGCTTCATCCGTTTAATGACTTCTATTTTATACTCTTTCTAAGTAAATTTCTTCCTCTATCCAATGATCTGCATAATTAAATTGTGTTATATCAGGAGGATGTGTCTAGAGAAACAGAAGAGAACCAACGGTTAAATTTCAAATTTTAATTTTACTGCAGATTTACTTACTACAGCGACGATTTGTGTTGGAATTGGTTGCTGTGGATCTTTTATGATTTTTTTCCCGTTAGATTCTCGGGGTCCTGCTGGCGGTAACAACGGAGGAGTTTTAGTCTAAAGAAATGAAATAGATAAGAAAGTCAACTTTGAGTTTATTTTTTGAATATCTCTTGCACTACCCACTGAAAAACTTTGTTATATCAACGAATTTCAGACGCGTTTTTATTTCATTTTTCGGAAAAAGACATCCAAACACGTTTTCCCGATCAAAATGATCCTAAGAACGCCACTAAACGCAGACGTATCGTTTTTCCTCACGAAAAATGCGTGTGCACGTGCACACCTTTACTTTTCCAAAAAAACTCGCTCACATTGGATTGACAAGAGTATCTGGACGGATTCTTTTTAAGTAGAAATGAAAAACATTACATCTGGGAACGTCGAAGCCCAAGCGCATCTAGTCCTGTTCTTTTTTATATCGAACTGAAAATAGACGTGTATGAACATTCGTTTTCATGACAAAATTTTTTAGCGGATTATATTAAAAAAAGTAAAACATTTCATACTCCATGTTTGTTATTTTCGTTCTCGTCAATTTTTAATTTCTTTTCCCATGCATCTGCGAAAAGTAATGTTGCATCCATTTTACTATGTAAATCCCGATGATCATCAAGTAAAATTGATTCATAAAATTCTTGAATTTCTACCAATCAAAAACACAAAGATATTTTTCACATAAACAATAAATAAAGGTTAATAATGACTAATCTCAGATTGAGCTGAGAGTAGTCTCTAATTGCTTAGAGCATAAAAAAACAGCAATAGCCTAATTTTTGGCAACAAGTATTCATTTGAGATTAGTCAATGTAACTAACCAATTAGTGCTTGAAATAGTCGACATTTGAATACTTTGATAACTCTAAAAACAAAAATAAAAAACATAATGTTGTTATTCCTTTTCTAATTATTTCATACCTGTCAATAGCATTTTTTAATTGCTTATCTTCTGGCTTATCAAGACGATTATAATAATCTTCAAGTAATTCAAGTGCACGATAAGCGTCTGAATGTATACATTAAAAAAAATTGTAGTTCTTTTTATTTCAGTTAAACAGCATAAACAGCATACCTACCTTGTTTTTTTAGGGGCATATTAATTACCATATATCTGTTTTGCTAATGATTTTAAAACTTATTCTTCATCTAAAGAATAAAAATAAGAATTAAACCTTCTATGTATATGCTAATAGCAACATTGTACTTTTTTTTATTCACTCTTCTATGTATTTACAGAAGAAAAGAAAAAAAAAAAATTGTGTACAATAATTACTAGTGCTTATAGGAGTTTTTTGAATAGAAAGACCATGCCATGTTCTATATCATTAAATGTCAAAAATGGATAAAAACGATATATCAGCCATACTTACAGATACAAAAAAAGCTAAATAAACAAATTATGTTAAAGAAAGAACTTACAAAGTTAAGATCAAAACGTATTTAAGTCTTTAGAAAAAACTTGGCTATCAGACATATGTAGAAGGCCAGATTGACTAGAGATGCAGTGAAATAAAGCAATAACCTTGTCACACATTTCCAAACTGAAGTCAAAATACATTTAAGATGCGTGGAGTAAACGCTGTTCTAAAGAACACGTCTTCGCGAGAATAAAGGATTTTGTTTTGAGAAAAAGGATCTTATAAATGTAAAATCAAATTAAAACACTGTATGTTGAGAGAAAGGAAGAAGCTTTTGATAACTACTATACTAGATGCGGTGACTTTTCAGCTAGATCCAATTTGTTTTGTTCTAGTATTTTTAATGACAACGTGCATTGATGTTCTGAAAAATGACGGTACACTTTGCTTAACACTATGCGTCAAGCATAGAACGCACTTCAAAGGTGTTAATTCTTGATTTTCTGAAAGGAGACAAGTTTTTCTAAGGTGGTATTAAAATCTACTGCTTTAACTTATTTTTAATGTTCGAAAACCATTCATTTCACAGAAATATTATGTATGAAAAATAGAGAATAAACAACACTTCCTGAACGATGGTGAGTGCTTATTCTCAGATTTGCAGTCCTAATATTTCGTACGCTGGAATTTGTATTTACACTTTGTATTTCAGCAGAACATTTGTTTACTCGAATGAAAATACATCCTAACTTATCAATATTGCACAAAAGTTATCTTCTCTATTTTCGAAACGAATATACGAGAGTGTGTCCTGAACCCTACACGTAAGTTTTCTTATTTTCACTCTGACACAGTGGTTGCACCAGTATTTACGGTAGGACTAATAGTAAGAAAACTCCGTCATTTTTTATATTTAATTAAACTGGCAGGCGTTACTTCCAGAAGGTACACTTTGCAAAAAAAACAAACACAACTCACACATATATCGTGATTAGAAAGTTGAAGTGTTTGTGTACTAAATCTCATTAGAAACAACGAATTATTCATTTCGAAAGAAGTATACACTCCCCAAATAAATGAACTTCAACAGCAAAATAAAATTATCAGATATTCAGAAAAATACTTCATGGTGTTTTCTCAAAAACTTAAAGAAAAGCAAAAAAGCAATCGTTTTTTAAGAGTGCATTGCTCCTTGAAAGAAAAAGTGCGCTGCTTTTACCGCTAAAGTAAAAAAGACTAATAAATATTCTCTTTCGAGTATAAATAATGGTAATCGAATCCTCATCACAGCAGTATTTGTTTTTTTGTTTCAGGCATACAACAACAATTTTCGACGTATGTGATTCGTTTGAAACACTTTTTATTTATATTATTGTCGGTGTTATGTTCTCACTTTTTTTCCATTAGCATATAAAGTTCAAAACTTGACTGAAGCTATCACAACACAATGGTGTATCACGACGATAAAAATAGTTTCATTGGTTTGAAATAAAAACCAATAGAATTTCGTAGACGCAAGAAACATAAGCAAAGACGGGAAAATGCTGGACATGGTTTCTTCGTAGCAACAAGGTAATTCTAATTATACTTGTATTATTAATTTTTTCGTGTCACGTAGAGCATCCTCATTATTATTCGTTTAATCACGGCCTTTACGGAGAAATAATTTTGAAGTTGATTATAACCTTTAAGACATAATGTTCTTTTTAGTTCTTTGGTAAAAAAACAGAAGTAGAAGCAGCAATAACGAACAAAAACACAGCTTGTAAAACAAAAGCAAGAAAGAAAAAACAAATAGATAAAAATTACAAGTCTTTTTAGTCGAACAATAGATGTTTTTAAATAATCGGGCAATAATTTTTCCTGGTATTGTATCATTGAGATCTGTCTCGTATAAATAAAACATTAGAACGCCATCACTACGTAAATAATGTTCAATAAAATGGTTGATGTCTTTTAAATCTTCCTAAAACACAGGAGAGCATTATAAACAGTTTGCTTAGCTGAAGGATTGTATGACTCTTTTTGGTAGAAATAGTTTAGGTAGTGATTGTACAATTATCACTTACGGCTGTATACATTCCATTTACATCCAAATGTTTCTTTATAAATTGTTTTTGGTTGGATGGCAATGTTTTCAATAATGTTGTCAATAATCCATATATATTTAGAATTGTTAAAAGTGCCCTCCAAAACCAAAGCTGAAACAAACAAAAACAGTTATGTAAAAAAACAGGTCTGATAGATTTATCATACCATTTCACAAAACATCTCAAAATAGAAACCGGCATCTGACGAGGAAGAGTAGAAAAACAAATCTGAGTATCCAGCAATATTTTCTTTTACTGCTATGTGTCTTATTTGGAATTTCTATTGTCTCCTTTTTACACAAGCTCTCATTCCAATAATTTATAGTATTCAATAAAGGCGAGTTTCATCGGTAAAATACCATCTTTACAGCGAAGTCTGGCACATTAGTCGAGACCTATCTCATTCGAAAGAGCATCAAATTCTGAGCCAGGAAATGTATTTTTAATTTTCTAAGTCGATGCGAACAGGTCCGGGACGGGCTCGGGGGGTTTCAGTTTTTCCACGTTCCAGGGGGAAATTGCACTGTAATTTTCTCGGCCAAATCGAAACCTACCGAGCTGAGACTTTTACCAAATACATTTTGATCATTTGTAAGTCGAATGGCGAAAGAACGAAGTCTCCATCACGTACCTGCCGCATCCACCGTCGATTTCAAAATTGGCGAAAACGCGGAAACGAACCATTTTGAAACGCGTTTTTCACCATGAAGACAAACTCGTATCACAAAACCAAGTAGTACATTGGATTCAACGCAGTTTACTGTATCTAGAACAACGTCTTCTAAATTTTTATTGCATTTGCAGAGGGCGCTAGAGAGCGATCTTTACGAACCGGTACAAGGATTTTTGCGTTTTCGGCGAACTTATAACGCGTTTTTTAGGGTCTTATCCCTACTTTTCGAAATTCGGAACGTCATATTCGGAATCAGCGTACTCGATTCTATATGAATCCGTCGAAAAACCAATATGTATTTCTTCCCTCCGGAGTTATAGGGTTCTCAAAACTCAGGTTTCCTAGAAAACCTAGTGACCTCTAGGGCAAGCCAAAATTTTTCAAACATGCGTATTCTGAAAGCCCGTAGAATTCTGAGTAAAATGAGCTTATATTACAAATTATTATAAAGAGAAATAAATTAGATTAGGCAAATTAAGGTAAACAGTAATAAAATTATTTTCTCTTTGACGGAGATATCTTCCTAGAGATTTAAAAAAATGTAAAAAATTTATTCTATTCCATAAGAATAATGCTCT